AAACACATGAATAGGAGAAATGATAGAAATAATAAAAGAAAATCCAAATGGAATAATTAAAAGAATGAAGAAAGCATTTGGTAAGAAGATTAATTTTAATGAATTAATGAATATAATAGAATTAAATGAAAGAAAGCACAATGTAAAGGAAGTAATTGAATGGGTAAATAATGAATTAAATGAAAGATATTTAAATGAATGGAAAGAAAAGAAATGTGGTGAATATATAAGATGTGCAAATGTCACTTTCAATGATAAGAAATTAACAGTAGCCACTTGGAGGTCATTAAATATAAAAAGAAATGCATTCCTCCAAATAATAAAGATGCAAGAAGGTGTAACTATGACAGGAAATATTAAATCAAAAATACTCCAAAATGATGCTTTAAAATATTGTAAACATTGCCCTAACACAATAGCATCTATTAGTCATATATTGTTAGGATGTCCTGTAATGAAAAAGAATCAAATATCAAAACATGATTATGTTTGTAAACAAATATTTAAACATTTATTAATTACCATTTTAATGAATTTGATGCAATTGATTTTAATAATCCTCCAAAATGTATTAATAATGATGAAATGGTAATAACTTACAATAAAGATTTGTTGGTTAGTGACCATTCTTTCCATGCTAGAAGACCAGTTATATATTATCAAAATATGAAAGAAAAGAAAGGATATATTATAGATGTTGCTATATGTCAGGATAATAATTTAGAATTAAATTATATTCACAAAATAAATAAGTATAAAGAATTACAAGAGAAATTAAGAAACAATAGAGAATTAATATATGTAGAAATAATACCTGTAATATTATCTATAAATGGATTCATTCATAAAGAATCAGCAAGAAGATTAAAAACACTAAAATTACAATTACACTTCCCCAAAATCCTACGAACAATAATAACAAAAAATATGAAAGACTTAATGTTTTACACAGGAAATTCTAGCAGCACACTAGAAGAAGTACAATCTAATGCGAGCATGCTAGAAATGAACTCTATTACACCAATAGAGCATATTGAAGAAACTGAAATAATCACTTCTCAGTATGAAGAAAATCCAATTGAGGATATATCTAATAATTGACCTTTTTTTTTTTTTTTTTTTTATTAGAGAAATATTTTAACTTTTTCAGTGATATTGAAAAGAAACCAAAGAATTAGAATTTAAAAGAAATAAATTGAATGATACAAAAAAATAATTCAATAACTTTTCAGAATCATAATTTTATAGAATAACTCAAAAATATTTTGTTTTTGAATGTTCTATTTTTAGATAAATCATATTTGAAGCATCTATTCATAAAAAGAAACAATTCCATCAATTAAACAATTACAATACGTCTCTTCTTCCATCAATAGAGATATCCCTTACATTTCCTAATTGAAATTCCAACCCATAAGTTGGTTGAATTCTTATTTGTTCTTGAGGAGATAAATCTATCTTTTTAAATTTAGGTGGGTTGATGTTTATTGGAGAGAAATAAAATAATGGAAGATTTGCAGTCATTCTTTCTGTGATTTGAAGTAATTTACTAACATTAGAACTAAAGAGTGAGATATATTCACCGAAGTCTCCTTGTTTTCTCATGACTGTTGCTGTTATTACTTCTAAATACTGTTCATTTTCATTAATCAGTCTGTCACAAACTTGGTCTTCTTGTGTATATCTTCTATCACGTGTTTGATACATTACTGGAGCTGTCCTTCCTATTGAAGATTGTAAATAAGAATTTTGTGGAAAGACATTTGGACGAGCATAAGAAGGATTAGGTGGTTGAGGTATAATGGTAGGTTGAGGAGCAGTAACACAAGGTTGCGGAGCAATTGGAATTTGTGGATGTTGAACCGTGATTGGTTGAGCCATACTACTCACCAAAGGAGGAGGTGCATTAGAAGATATTGACATTGAATTACCATCTCTAGCATTTATAGTAGAAGAGTTAACAGAAGAAACTTGATTTGAATTACTTGACATAGATAAATCATCATCATCTTTTTTCATTCTAATTGGAGTACGTCTAGAACGTTTAGGTGGATCATCACGATCTGTAGAAGTAGCACGAGGAGATTTAATGGAATGAGAAGGAGATACTTCAACCCTTTGTTGACCGAAAGAAGAATGAAGAAAACTTTCCCAACTAATATCTTGTTTTTCTTTTGCTTTCATATATTTTACACGTAATGAAACATCTCTTAATCGTTTATTAGGTAAATTTGTCATTAATAATGTCAGTCGTTTAAATTCAGCATTTTGTGAAGCAGGATATCGTTTCATATTATCTTCTAATATTATTTGTTCTTCAGGTGACCATGAAGGAATTGATTTGATATATTCTGCAATATTTGGTGTAGGTGAATCGTCTTGAGATGGTGATGAAGAAGGTTTAGGAATGAGGTTATGTGGGTTTGACATCTAATAACAACAGTTAAGAATAATTTGATTCATTTTTAGATTTTCTCATTTGGAAAAATACTTTCATTTTTCTTTTTTGAATCATCTTTTTTTCTATTTTTTCTCTTCATCTCCTTTTTCATTTTCAAGTTTGGACCATTTCTTCTTCCTTTAAATTCTTTTAAATTTTCGGGATTGAGACTATAATATTTTTAGTAATGATGGAGTTAGTAAATTAGTTTGAAAAATAGTTTTGTAATAGTTAAGTTCTATATTTGCTTTTCTCTTTTTGTATCAACTATTTTTATAGTTTTTTCTCTTAATCAAATTACTATTTTTTTTTGATTCTAAAGTTTAAAAATAAAACAGAAACTAAAAAATTATTTTTGTTCGATTGGTAAAAATTTATTCATAAATATTAGTATTAATGGTAAAGATACGATTGAATTGATCAAACAAAATGTAATAGATCTTAAAAATATGAAGATGAA